CGTGTAAAGTAAACTAATTATACTTTCAAAATAATTATCATATTTACACACATTTTTGTGCATTATTATTGTAATTTGTATTTTTATATCCTATTATTTTAACTATAACTGTATTTAAACCTAATTTCAATGAGAGACAGGTATGTCACGAGGGTTAGGGATCTCATTATAAGAGGGGCTATGAGTTAATGGTTTTGACTTTTTGAAGTATTTTTAGAGTTTAATTAGAAATTAGCTATCAGTGAGAAAAATGTTTACTGTACTGTAATTTCATTGTATGGTTTACTATACTTATACTGGGCTTTTATTAATACAATTACACTATGAATAGTTCAGTGTATATGTATAGGAAACGACACCATGGAATTCCAGTATACAAATGAGTGGACAGGTATGGGAAACAGGTATATCAGTTGCCACAGTATAAGTTTTACTGTTTTTATGATTAGTAGAAAACTTGGAAATTAATAATTACATAATAATTACAAATGTAATTAAAAAGTTACTTTTAATAAATATAATGTTTTGACAAATAAATGGACATCGATTGGAAACTTACCCCGTAACTATTTTAACAATAAGTAAATCACACAAAACTACTAATTATTAAAGCTTTCAATAAATAAAATAATTAATATTACGTTATAATCTTGTGATCCAATATAAGTTTCATTATTTGTAATGATTAGTAGAAAACCTAAAAACTAATATTAATTACAGTTATTATAAAACATTGATGTTTTCAATGTTAATAAAATAGGTCTGAAGATCCAATATCGAAATGTTACTGGGTTAGTTTCAAAAAGTGGTCAATTTAAGGTAATGCTAAATTTATATTGAGACAGTAGGTAATAATGTTAAATATTGTTAGGATTTAAGCTAAATTATAGCCACCATGCTAATATAAATACTATACCCTTTACCCATAGGGAATGGGTACTTTCCGACCCCACAGTAGTCACCCATTTAAGGGTGTTTTACACTGGTGGTAACTTATAAAAATTTTAATTTATGTTATTCAATACCTATTCTTCAATAAAAATAAAAAATTCTATGAATTCAATATTTGTACAATTTATTGGTTTTACGTGTAAAGTAAACTAATTATACTTTCAAAATAATTATCATATTTACACACATTTTTGTGCATTATTATTGTAATTTGTATTTTTATATCCTATTATTTTAACTATAACTGTATTTAAACCTAATTTTAGCTTACCAAGGTTGATTGAAATAACAATCCATTTCGCGTGTATAGAGTCTATTAGTTTCCGTAGATTCACCTTTCTAATTATATAATTATTTGATTAGTAAAAATATTACTATAATTCGTTGAAGTATGAGTCAGGTACAATAATAATTATATCATAATTATCACTAAATTATTGATAGTCATAGTAGTGGGTGGCACAATTATATATAATTATGTTGAAAGCAATTAACAATTTATTGTATAAAAACATTGACATACGTAAAATAAAATTTAAAATAACATCTTATTTAGTATTCATAAAATTAAAGTAATTATCATAAACATGATGTCCAAAATTATCCTGATAGCCTATATTATGGCTATTTGTGTGACCATGGTCACCTGTAACCATTGGAACGAGCACTGGAATAAATACAGCCAGGATGAACGCCAATGGATCATGATCATGTTTTGCAGTAAGTATTATTCATTTATAAAGTAAAAAGTATGCTAGATAAATTAATATATTATTTAATTACGGATCACTTACTAATATTAATTCAAGTAAACAAATATTTGCTAAACATTATTAAAAATTTAATTATAGTTTAGATTATAAATCATTTAAACTTAAAGTAAATCTAACGAATAGCTAATAGCCAAACTGTAATTTAAAATATAATTCTACCCAAAATACATACTAATAATTATGTAATAAATACAAACAATAAGATTTTAAAGTATATTACAGTAGTTATAAATTTTAATATATATTTAAAGGCGACTGCGAGTTCATAAAAGGTGATTTGGACGGGTATAACGAGTGCGCCCTTAGGCAGTACCCGGATCAC